GGGCTTATCGTCGTCAGCCGCCCGAGGTGTTCTCGACTGGGGATAAGTAAAGATAGTATTCGCGCCGCCTTGATAATGCGGTATTAAGGGTATGGCAGTCATAGTGCTAATGGGCTTATGATTCCAAATAGCATCAGTCGGGGGATTTTTTGACGGGGCGGCATTTATCTGAACGCGGCCCAGCTTACCGGCATTGACGCCCGACGTCATCTTATCACTGGGGCGAATCTGTAACTTCACATATTGACAATTAGCTATCATGTGAAAAGTTACCGGCGTTAAGTCTTCTGCGCTTGCTGAATAGGGCTCAAATGAGAAATGAACTGGGTTCCTATTGTTGTCTTTTTTTCTATAGGGTAGTAATGGTCGGTTACTCTCATCAACGATCCTAAACCCAACATTACAATGCCACCCCGTTGAAATACTAATAGTACACATGATTAATCCCAGACCTCCAACCTTTACCCACAATTCGGTGTCAAACCATTCATCATTTACGTAGTCCTTCTCCTCCAGGTAATGAAGGAACCAATCTTCCTTTACATGTGGGTTATTCATATATTTAAAGGCTAAGCACCGTAAGAGTGCTAATGCTCTTATGATTATAAACGTAGTCTCTTTGATCCTCTATGCTATTTACCGTAACCTTTCCCGTATCGTCTACTCTTATCTGCAGCTTTACCTTCCCGTGACAATCGGCAACCATGTGTAAAGTCCAAACGGAATGATTTTCGGCGCTGCTGGTGTTTGGCTCTACGGAGAAATGCGCAGGCTCCCTGTTGTTTGTCTTATTTCTCATAGGCTGCAGTATGCCATTGTCATCCAGGAACCTAAAGCCCACGTTGGCGTGACTGCTTGTGCCAATGCAAATAGTACAAAGGATTAACTTCTTTCCTGAGTAGTTCAAATTCACGGACATGCCCTCAACGTCCACCCAAGATGCCTGGGTATATTTTTTCTCGCCTGTGTAAGTCGTATAAACGCAATCTACTCCAGCTACGTAGGGGTTGTTCATCGCCATATATAATAGCTCAGACCAATGCTTGCAGCTGCTAAGCCGGCCTTTAGTAGGTTATGGTCATATTCCTCGGTAACCTTCTTTACTGGTTTCTTTGGCGGCTTTTCTAC